CACTTGAACCAGTGAAGCTTGAAGGATTCATCCTTAAAAATTCATGGATCTTCGTGGTGCAACATTCCTTCTAGCAGGACGACCTATGATAGCTCTTCGTGGAGGCATGATCTGAAAGACACGTGCAAGCCTAAATTAGAAAAAACTTTTTAGAGATAAACTTTATCTCACGAAATGAATAAGAAAGAAGTGAAATAGTTCCTAAATGTCGCAGCCTCCTAATTATAGATATGTCGCGCTGTACACCGATAATAAGGACTCTACAGACATGGCTTCATAGACTCCCTAGGACTCTTGAACTCTAGGCTCTGATATCAAGTTTGTCACGCCCCGAGCCTACACCTTGGGTAGGACTAGCACTCAAGAACCATTGATGGGCCCAAGCAAGCCCTTGGCCTGGCTTAACTCTTAGCGGAAGACTTTACTTAACGTAAATGTACTTTAAACATAAAGTGCAATTCAAAGATAACTTAGAATGTATTATAAATGAACATTCACTAGCCAAAGTGGCAACTCAAGTCTCAACATAATTGAATGGAAAAGACTCATGAACTAACAATAACTAACTGTCTACGAAGCCTCTAATAACTGAGATGGACGTCGGGACAAGACCCATGACATCCTAATGAACTAGTCTAATAAAACAATAACAAAGGGGATCCTCCGGAAGCAAGGAGGCTCACCGACAAACTCTGAAGCTCAACTGGATCAACGAAGCACTGGATGTTGATCCTGATTACCTGTATCTGCATCATAAAAAGATACAGGCCAAATGGCATCAGTACATTGAATGTACGAGCATCGAAGAGAATTCTAAAACAAGACATAAGCTTGAAAGGGAACTGAAAGAACTTACCTGGTCTCAACTCAACTCAACCCAACTCAACTTATTTCAATATAAAGCAGCAATGTAAAGAAAAACTTTAAAACATGTGGATAACAACTCTGTGTATTGAAAAATACAATAATAACTCAATTTGTATATGAAAATACAAATAACTCTATGTCTATAAGAATATAAAATATCTCTGTGGGAGTTTCTCTAACCGACAAGCATCACGATGAGCTATGTGATGATATAATGTCTTGCATCACGCTGCCAGGGTCGTCTATACCTTGCCGGAGGTATAGAACTTAACTACTAAGTGGATCCACTAGTCTATGCTAAAAAGCACTCAGGAATCATCTAAAAAGTATGACCCTTTTCTACCCATGTTGGCTAAACGATTTATGGAGACCTTGAATTATCTGAACTCAACTTGTCCCCAAATCGGTCCTCAATACTACTCCCAAAATGTAACTAGCTCATATGTTTAAAAACATAACTATTTCTATGGTTTGAGATAATTACTCAAAAATATCTCAAAGGCTCTCTTGGAAATCAGTGTTTCCTCTGTTGCTTAAATGTGAAAACATTTACTCTTTACTCCAAAACTAGCTCAAAGGCTCTTTTGGAAATCAGTGTTTCCTCTCTTGTTTAAATGTGAAAAGATTTACTCTTTGTGAATAATTAGTCCCCATGTACTCTTTTGAAGAAAATGAACTTCATTTGTTACTCTTCTCAACTCAAAACTCAAGTCTTAAAACAAGTTTAAAGCATTTGCGAAAGACTTCTTGAAAAGACTCTACGAACTCTTTAGACTTGGCTCTTAACTCTCTTTGAATTTGAATTTATGGATTCAAGGTTATGATTCATGCTTATGGATGATCTCATAATGTTTAGAAGTACCTTATAGTGTAGAAATCAACTAGAAAACATAGGTAAAATTCAAGGGAACTCAAACGGAAAGAATTGGGAAAGGGTAGAGGACCTAGCGACCCTAGCGTACTGAGTGGCGCAGGGCACCAGAGCCCTAGCTATAGAAGATGGATTGGGGCTCACTTAGTGGAGCGGCACCCCAGAGGCCAAACTATAGAACTCTCATGCTGGCACATTGAGTGGCACGGTGCGCCAGCCCCCTTCCCAAAAAACCCACCAATTTTCTTGTTCGTTTTTCGACCCTAAAACGTCTAGATTCGATTGGTTCCTTCCCCAAACACTTAGATTCGAATACCCAACTAAAGTATAAAAAAATCCACTCAAAATCAACCTCAAATCTCATGGAATTAACTCAAGAATTTCTCAAAAACTCAACAATCAAGATCCCAATAGAAACTTCAACAAAATCCATCAAGAACTCAATTACTCTGCTTTCAAGAACATAAATACGCTGAATTAAATCATGATTGGCGCGTGGCTGAACGAACTCAATGCTATGTGATACCACATACCTCGTAGGGAATAACCCTTGGTGAAATCCGCAAGCAAAAACTCAAGAACGCGGTGAACTTTGGCTTTTCTCCTCTTTTCTCTTCTTTCAAAGCCCTAACGTAATTTTTGAGTGCGTAAGCTGAACCAATTCAGTTTAGAACCCTAATTTAATTTCTCAAAACGAAATAACTTAATTGGGTAAGGAAAAGACCAAAATACCCCTCTTAAATCCGGGTAACTTTCCATATCTAGACAGCTCGACTTCAAACCGGCATATCTCCGTCATACGAGATCAAAAATTAGCAAACTCGGTAGCGTTGGAAAGATAATTCAAAGACCTTTCATTTGATATCTTATAGCCCACATAACTCATCATGTACTGAATGTTATGGTCATTTGAAGTTGATCCAAAACTTATACAACTTGCCAAACATTCCAAGTTTATTCTTTCCAAAAATGGTTCTTTCTAATTCTAGCTCTTTCAAATAGCGGGGTGTTACAGTCAGTCTAAAACAACTATCTCTACTCGGTCCCGTTCAATACATACAAAATGCACTAGCACAAGAAGTTAGAACTATACCGTTCCCATAATCAAGATAAATTACATATAATCTTGTGCTACAATCGTACCGATGACATGTCCAATTTCCATCCTTGATTGTGAACAAAAAACTTTATACTTATAAGAACCGATGATTTAATCCTTTGTGTATAAGCTAAAACTCTATACACTAAATCATCTACTATATAGTAAACAGACACCATAGACGAATATATGATCTATTAAAACTGAATAAATATTTATTCAATAATAAATATTATATCTAAACATATGGTTAATAGTATATATCCCAACAAGTTTTACATTTAGATTATAAATTTACAATTCAGTTTACTTTTTTTTTGCTTTTACATATATTTGCTTAGTGAAAAGTATTTCTTGAACCTGTATTATTTTCATTGTAGAAGTGAATTTTATGAATTGAAAAATACAAAGTCTTTAGTCCCATGTGTTACTGTATAGTTACTTCTGGCTATTAGTAGCTATAGTTGAAAGCTAATGAATACCCAGATGAAGTTGTTGATATGTATTATTCTTGGTTCAACATTTTTTTTTATTTTTATGTGTTTACTGCTCATATTCGTTCGTTCACTCTTTTAGATTTTTCATTTTGCTGGTTAACTAAAGTTATGTTATTAGCATCTTTTGAATTTTTTTTAATTGTTGATTCGTTTCAATGATAAGTTTGATGAATTGATACGTTGAATGAGTATCAAACCTATTATTATCATATAATGGTTATACAATAAGATTTCAAGAAGGATACATTAATAAAAAATATTTTCAACCTCCAGTTAGGTTGTAGTTTAATTGATAATTTAAAATAGTTGAAATTCTTGTGTGTATTATAGATGATTGAAAATTCATGTCTCAACTTTTTTTTAAAGGATACTAGTATACGTGCCTGCGCGTTGCACAAATATTTTAAAATATAATATAATATTTTAAATTTTAAATAACTAATAAAATTTATCAAGAAATTAGTAATATTTTTAAAATGATAATATGAATCATTAAATTATTTAATTGAACACATTAAATTAAAGATATATTTTGTGATTTTTTTAACTGAAACAAATAAATTTGATTTGGATCTAAATTTTATTTTTATTTTTTTTCCAACATAGATTATCAAACTAATTAATTTATCTCAATTTAAAATTGTAAAATCAAATTTAAAATTTGTAAATTTTCTTTCAATAATAATAATAATAATTATTATTATTATTATTTAATAAAAAATATAACAAAAAATATGGATTTAAGAAGTTGACTTAAAATATTTTACTTGTTCCCGAAACATCTTCTCAATTACTTTATATGTTAGATTTATGAAAAAAAAAGTAACACAATAAATTAAGTTACAAAGTAATGCATATTTACAAAAAAATAGATAAATAAAAGACAATAACATATATAGTAAAAATATATAAAGGGATAACACATGAAATTAATCGTGTAAACTCTTTTAATCATCATATACAAAAATGAAGTTACTATAATATTTTAACTACGAATTCTTTTTTAAAAATATGATTAAATTAAAGCTACATATACAAACATTACATATACAAACATAAAGATAAAACAACATAATAATCCACCAACTCTTAATTTGTCTATAAGAAATATACAACTTTATTTCTCATATCACATTTCAATAAATATATATTTTCTTCACCCAAAATGAATTACATAGTATAATATAATAATACCTCTCACATTCAAGAAACCTAAACTATTAAAATGTACTCCAATATTAATTTTATAAGTGTATAATGCAAATAACAGTAAACAACATGAATTATGAATAACGAAATATGATATAATTATGGCATGTTACTTAATGAGTTCAAGATGAACATATTTTGAATGAATTATCCAATGCCCGGATGATGAATAATAATTAGCTACTAAAATACATAAATAAATAACAAAAAAAATCAACAATGCCCATTATATTGTAACTATCAAAGCATAGTGAAGAATAGATTGGAAACAGAAAAGAAGGTTTCAATATACTACAATGAATCAGAAAATAAGAGTGTTCATACAAGCACACTTATAGTGTGATTCTAAAATTTGTTATTAACTAACTACACTAGTTAATCCTAACTTAACCATAGTTAATTCGTAACCACCTTCTAACTAACTTTGAATAACAGCTACTATATTCAACACCCCTCCTCAAGCTAAAGGCTGAAATATGTCTTTCAAACCTAACTTGGACATCAAATGTACATGTGAAGCTTTCCACAAACCTTTTGTCAGCAAGTCTGCTAGTTGATCTTTGGTAGACATATGATGAGTTTTGATCATACCTTGGTGTAACTTCTCTCTAACAAAATAACAATCAATATCAAAGTATTTGGTTCTTTCATGAAAAATGGGATTGGCTGCAATCTGTATAGCAGCCTTGCTGTCACAGAATAAATCCACTGGTTGCTTGATATTAACTCCCAACTCCTTGTAGATGCCAATAAGCCAAGTTATCTCTGCCACTGCAGAAGCCATACTTCTAAACTCAGCTTCAGCTGAACTTCTAGCAACTGTATCCTGTTTTTTAGATTTCCAGGTAATAAGTGCCTCTCCAAACTTCACCAAATATCCTGTGACTGACTTTCTTGTTTGCACACAAGAACTGACTTTCTTGTGTGCACACAAGTTCCCCAGTCAGAGTCACAGTAAGTAG